GTCTCGTTTTATGCGTAGATGCTTAAAATGATGTCTTCCTGTTAATAAGGTGGGCACCCTTGCATAATTTAAAAGGCAACAACTAAGAATCCAAAGATGGAATAGAAGAGGTGGTGGTGGAGACCTGTTCCCTTTCCCTGAGTAAGGTTAATATGCCTGTACTGAAATGCTGAATAACTGCCTGTTCTCTTCCTACTTTCTGGCCTGAAGCTTAGAAAGAAGTTTTTTTTCCCCCCCTCCTTTGTGCAGACCAAACAAAATACATCTATGTCCTTGGTTCTTCCTCAGGTACTTTTGTAATAGATGTGATTATTGCTTATCAGAAGTCTTTTGTCAACATTCATGTCATGTAGTACAGAAAGAGCATGATTTACCTGCACATATTTTAGCAGAAAAGTACTCCATGTGTTAAGTTTTTCTCTTATTCTGGATAGTGAGAGATGAGTGGGCTCCCCTGAGATCCCTAAAAAAATGCAAAGCAATATTGTTGCTGATATTGGTCTGATACAAGAAGTTAAGATAAGAGCAGTTGTGGGTTTTTTTAAAATGTATTTTTTAGTGGTGTGAAATAGATTGTTGCTTTTAGCCTGATTAGTTGTATTAATTTTTACCTTCAGGCTCTCCTGCAGCTCTAGAGGGGGTAGAATATTATGTGAAAGTGATGTTTAGAAGAGCTCTGGTGCCTTCAGATTCTCTCTTAGAGTGGGAGGCTAAACAGCACACCTTTTCTCCCTTTACAGTCTGCATGAGATAATTTATGCAAGTGCAGAACTAGAGGTTTTATCAGAGTGCTTTCTCAATTCCATTCATTTCGGTAAAATTTCAGCTTATTGAAATTGCTCCAAGTCACAGCGCAGCTTTTAAAGGGGTCTGGAGTAAAGTCCGGGACCCCTAGTCAATCAAGAGCATGCTTTAAATAATACCTCGGTTACTGAATGGAGTCATTTTCCAATAGAAGGTGTGTTATTACTAGTAGTGTGTTTATGTTGGATACTCAGAACATCAACTTACGATTTCAAATCAACACATGAAACATGTTTAAATCTCCTCTGAGTGTTCTTTTTTTTAAAAAAAAAAAAGTTATTTTTAATTACATACTTCGGTCCTTTTTGTGGAGATCCACAGGAGGCTTTAATATGCTTTGAACGTATTTGATTTAGTTGATGAATTTTTAAAAGACCAGGAAAGAGGAGAATATGGACCTTTTTTCTTATGTCCCCTTGAGCTTGTGTGTACTTCTATGTAATGATCATCAATCAAATGGCATGGTCTTCAGGCTGCCATAGAGATCCACACACACAGTACAGCCAGTAGGCATTTTTGCTGGCTAATTTTAGATTTTTTTGTTGCTAATAAACATCTGAGCTCTCACGGTAAAAGCTGAGTTTGCTGACTCACTCAATACAGATGAAGTGAGGAATGTTGCTGTACTCAGATTTTGCTAATGCAAATGCTTTATTAGAGTATGACAATGTAAAACTTGTGTTGCCAGAGAAATTTCAACCCTCCTGTGTCATATCTAGGGATACAGATAGTATGGAACAGCTGTTACAGCCAAGGGTTCGTTCTCTGCTCTGAAGGGCAAATGTTACATGCATGAAAACCAGCTTCCTTTTTTAATTATTTGGAAGATTTTAATCTTATCCAAATAAATTTGCCCCTCCTGGTATACATGGTTAGAAACCTTCTGCACTTTTGCTTCAGTGGGGGAGAGAGAAGTGGAGCTGGGAGAGAGAAAAGCCAGAAATCAGACTTTCTGTGATAAGCTGATGTGCAGTCTGTGGGTGAATTCAAGGCATACTCCAGTAAGAGATGGAGCTAGGTGGTATGGGGCTAAGCAGTTGCATTGACGTAACAAGGTGAGTGGAAAACAATATTGATAGCATAGATTTAAGAATGATCAGCATCACTGTGAGCCAAATTATCGTTGTTCACAGAATTGTATTAGTAGGTGCAGGAAGGGGTAAAATAAAGCTATTATTTGTCTGGTACACTTTATACAAGTCATGCAACCCTTTGAGAAGGTTCTAGTACTGATATTCTGCTCTTTTTTTTTCTTTTCTTTTTTTAACTACCCACTTGAACCATTTTCATAGATTTCAGTCAGCTGAAACACGGGGAGTCCTACAGCTGTGTCCAGAATTACACAAAGACTGAAGAACATGTGCCTCAATAACTGGAGAAGGGAAATAGCTTGGGCTAGAGTCGCTGCTGTTTTCCAAGGCCAGAATGAGCGCCGTTTGGGTGGGTGGCTGGTGGCTGTTGCCATTAGAAACCTCTTAATCTGTACTTCTGTCTCCCTGAGGGCAGCTACATGGAATCCCATTTCAGATGTGACCTCCACACAAACAGCTGTGAGGTTGTTAGGCAGGAGATGGAGTGCTTTCTTGGTACGTGTGGTCAGCTGTTTCGGTGGTCATGTGGCGCTGGCCGTGGTCAATGTGTGTGACCCTGCGCACTGTGCCAGTCCTGGGCAGACAAATGCTGGCTCCCCTGTGTTCTAGCCTGTTTGCATATTTGCAGTGCAGTGCCTGCAGAACGTGAATAAATATTCTGTGCTGCAATCACAAGTTAATCTGTATCTATCACAGTGATTACTTAACAAATGTTGGCGTACTCAATCTGCAGAGTATTGCTCCCTCGCGTCTTTTCGACGGATCACTAGCTTGACTTCTGTACTGTGGCCACTCGGTTTATAATTTACTCTCTGGAAATGGTAGTTGGTGTGACCAAGGCTTCTCTGGCTCTGTGAAATTTGATATAGCAATGCTGCAAGTTGGTGTTTTTTCTAGATACTTTATCTCTTTGTGGGGATTTCAAAATGGCTTACAAGGTTTTAAATAGAGTTGTCCATACCAGTGTGACCAGACAGGTGAAAAGAACATGTGTTTAGGCCCGCAGTTTGGTGTAACTCACTGAAGAAAGCAGGTTTGTACTGAAGGATCTCCTACTGTGAATAAAAAAAACTGTGTTCAGGAAAGAGGTTGATGTCTGGCAAAGAAACGGTAACGAGTAGACAATGTGTCATAGCATCTTGAATTGCTGCTGCGATTTGCCAAGACACTGACTTAGATCGGAAATGTTACAGCTGCAAGTTATACTTGGATGAGAATGTCTGAACTGAGTACAGTGGTCTCATTACAGCGATGTCAAAGTAATGATCTCCTGCTTTATCCATCAGGGGATATCCTAGAGTTTTCTATCTTCAGCTACCCTTAGGCTTTCCCATGAGAAGTGGATATACATAAAATACAGTTCTCTTTGAAGGCAGAAAATAAAACTCATCAGGAGCTTAGCTGGCAAGGAGAGGAAGGAGAAGCAGTTTATTTTGATCATGCACCATCATAGAAGCACAGAGTTTGCTTAGAAGAGGAATAACTGAGTAGTTTATGCTGTTTAAAGATGACACCCAAAACTTCATGTGCTTTTGTGTGGCATGGGTATCTGCAAAGTTGGGAAGAGGGATCTCAGAAAATAACGTGTAGATGGGAATGTGAGAAGGTGGCACGTTTCAGAGGGGATGTTTTCTGTCTGTTCATTTGCCTACCTTTTTGCCTTCTGTGGGCATTCAACTTTTTATCTAGAAACTTGCATTGCTTTTTTTGACAGAGTTCTGGACATTTTTCTTTCTTTCACAGTATCTTGCTGCTTTACACCCTTGGAACTTCCTTTGTCACCATTTCTGCTATCTCTCTGTCTCAGTCTGACCTCTAACTTGGTTGTTATTTTCAAAATATGTGAAACGTGATTTGTGCTGGAATACTTTAAAAATCCTCCATAAATGTATTTCACATAATAATATTTCCTGAATAGTCAGTGAAACTGACAGGTGAAGTAAATTAATTTGCTATTTGGCCTTGCATTAGCTAGTTTTAACAAATTCTGGACTTTACGCAGCCCTTTGCACCAAGCAGTGTCCAAGGCCTGTCAAAGGATGTGCATCTCATACCTTGTTGTTTGGGGTTTTTTGTTTGAAAAACTGGGGTAAGGGAAGATAATGTTACTTGAATGAAGACAGGGCCAGTCCTGTGGGAAAACAACAACAGATATGGAAAATCAGGCCTGTGATTATATCTCTTCTAAAAAAATTTTAATCAGGACTGGGAATGTTGCCAGGCACTGGAAGCGAATTGTCCTTACTGTTAAATCATTAGCTTACTCCTTGGCACGTGTTGGCCTAAGCCAGTGCTCCCAGAAGAGCCTAGGCAGAGTTCAGGTCTTAAGTGTGTCCTAGGAACTGTTCCATTGGGCAGTTTGCGTGCAGTTAACATTTTCTGGAGACTGAGAGATGCTTCTAGTGTGAATTTAGGCCCTTCTGTGCTACCTGACCTTGCGATTGGGAATAGCTCAGGGTGCTTTAACTTGTACGCGTGAACCCCAAAAGTCCTAGGTCCCAATGGAATGCTCTATCCAGTAAACCATTAGGATAGCCACACAAAAGAAAAGATCTCAAACTAAAGTGGTGCTTACAATGGAGTCTTACTTTTTTTTTTTTTTTTTGATGGTGACCCTAATGAATCTTTTGGAAATCCGGAGGGTTCTGGGTCAAGGTTTGTAATGATAGTCCGTAACACTTTCTAGCTCAAGTAAAGCTACCGTGTTTTCTGTTTTAGTGGAATTGGTTTTAATTTTGAATAAATGTCTGTCTGTTTAGCTTTAGACCAATGCCACTTACGAAATGGGACCACGTTTCATGGATTACGGAGGCACAGAGGACTGTCTAGACGCAGTGTAAAGAAGAGAATAGTGCAGACATTTAACTTTCTTTGTAAACCATGTGATGTATCCCTATTTTTCACACTGCTCTTATCTTCCTGCAGGCCTTTTATCTCTGAGGGTGTTTTATAAGTAGCTTTGTAGGGGAAAGGGCATGACTAACATAGACTGTGCAGTAACCTTTTTGTCCGATACAGGCCTTGGATGTGGGACTGCGGGACGTGTACTTTGTGTGCAGGACAGATGTTGTTAAAATGGCTTTGATTTTTCTTCTGTGTTTTAGGGACACTAAGGATCTTGAATAACCATGAGCAATCCTTTTGTACGAATTGTGGAGCCACTGGACCCTAAACAGCCTCTGAAGAAGTTCTTTAATCTGAGCAAATTGGAAGATGTGAGATACGGTATGTTGACAACACAAGGAAAGCATTTTGTTAACATTGATGAACAGAACCTGAAGAGACATTGGTCTATATTTGGTCTCTGGAGAGAACTATGAATTCAAAAGATGTTTCTTGAAAACAAAATTCTAGCCAAATTTAATTCTGGAAATTTAGAACTACAGGAATACTGGCAAGATCACAATATTGTTTTCTCAGCATGCTGTGCACTTGGCAGTCTTGTTTTTCCTGAGTAAGTGAGGAAGACTAGGCAAAACTAAGAGCACAAGATGTCTCATACTCTACTGTACTACTGTGAAAGGCTGGAAAGAACCTAACACTGATATGACTGAATCATCCAGTTAAAAAGACTAGTGGCTAGAAAATCCTTTCTGAGGAGGCTTTTTCTTTAGTTCCTCTGACGCTTCCTGAATGTACTTCAGCATCTTCCATGTGGCACTGGTAAAAATCTTGCAATCCATGCCACTGACTTAGAAACCGAGCATCCATAGCTTAGAGCTGTTTATGCTGGGTATTTTTCCTCTTTCAAAAAGGAAATGAGTCATTAAGGAGAATTCAGGAAGCAAGAGGAGGAACATTTTTTCTGAACATCAGCAACATGTATCCATTGCAGGCTCAGATAGTACGTAAGTGAGAAATCAATTAATGTTGGACTTGGTGTGTGGAAATCAGAGATGAGTCTTAAGAAATGAACTATTACATGTATGGTATTACCAGTTGATGTATTCCAGGATTCCAAGAGTGATAAGCTCCAGATTCTTTAAAGAAAAGATGCAAGTCTCACTACCCAGCAAAAAAATGGAATAACTAAGCAACAGAAGAACGAGGTGGAAGGGGGAGATTAAAAAAACATAAAACAAAAAACCAAAACAAAAACCCCAACAACAAAAACAAGCGAACAACAACCAAAACCAATGAAAAAAACCCAAATTATTCTGAGTGACTGTGTCCTGAATAATAGTTGGGGTTTTTTTATGATAGCAGTAATGAGGTCTCACTATGATTAAGTGACTTTTGTGTCTTGAGGGTTCTATGTAGAAAATTGAGACAAACTTCACAAGAGATTTTTAAATTTAAGTATTCTGAGAGAAAATCAAACAGCTATTATTACAGTGGATCAGGGGAGGAAGGACAGAAAAACTTGTCTTTTTTTTCTCCATGCCCGTTGCTTGTAGTAAAGCTGTCAGGATTGCATTAATAATATTTTGTGTCTTCAGCTATATTTATATCTTGAAGTAAAAGAGGATTAGCAGATGCATAGTCTTATATTGTTGAGCTTCATTCTCCATCTCTGGAGAAGAAGAGATGGCCTGCCACTAAAGCTATGCTTTCCAACATGTCAGGTAGAAAATTGTGTTTTTCTAGTGCATTTATATGACTCTGTTCAGTTTCAAGAGTGAGAGGAAACTGCAGAGAAACAAGATGAGCACAGCATGTTTTCAGAGTA